ACTCCACAGGACATGAAAAAGCAGGCTCGATCTAGCACGATATCGAAAGAGGCTGCCATGACCTGAATCTTTTCATTCACCTGCTTTGGAAGGAGAGGCAGGCTAGTAGCTACTGCAATTTCTTGCAAGTAAATTTCACAGGTCCTCATAGCCTGCCACCTTCCGCGTCTCCTCACAAGGTCTGGGCTCTCGGTCATGCCTAGCAACCAAGTGGCACCGCCAGCTCGAAGGCTAGCAAGCTCATAGGGTCGTTGTTCTCCTTCACGGCGAGTGGGCAAACCTACCTCTTTCAAGACAGCACCGAATCGCTTTCGGAGAGTGGATGCTGAGAGAGGCCACAGCAAGGCGTCCGCTGCTTCGTCCTTAAAGGCTCCAGCAATCAGCCTAACCAAGTCCTCCTGGTCCACTCGGGCCGCCTGATGCTTCGCCCCTCGACCTCGAGTTTTTGGTTGGTGGATCTTCACCAGGATGTGTGTGAAACCCGGTGCAGCATCTGATGGCAAGATGAGGTCCGATCGTCGGGTCATCAACATTTCACCAACCCTCATGATACCACTCCATCCCATGGCCCAAAGGGCGGCCTCCCTCTTCCATCCCCAAATTAGGGCAGTGCTCAGCATAGAAAGTAGAATGCTAGCAGGAAGGGCAGGATGGTGGGAATGTGGTTCATCCTGCAACCATGCAAAAGCTAAATCCCAGGCTCGAGTCAGTTGACGCTTTATCAGCGGCCGGGCAGTGCCAACCGCATTGATTGTCTCAGAATACTTTTGGTAACTCTTTCCAGCTGTGAAAAGGGCACGGCCGTACTGCACCAAACATTCAGAGATCTTTTCAGGGTCAGCCGGCTTCTCAGCCAGCAAAACATCAACCGACAAATCCATGGCCTCAGTCAACCAGGCGTCGAACTCCTTGAGGTAGATAGCCCGACGGTCCCTGGTTTCAGTCGTGACCGCGCGGTCAGGAATCAGCTGCGTGGCCGCTCTCGCCAAGGCTCGGGACCGTTCATTTCCAGTCTGGGGAGCTGAAGTCCATACCATGGCTGAAATGGCTAACCGCGGCCGGCCTACTCGGGTCTTCAGTTTACCACCTTTGGGGACCAAACCGGGGCGTCCACCAGCAAGAGGAGGAGGGCTGAACGAAGTGACAAGAAAGGTGAGCAAAAGAAGGAGAGCGATGCAGCCATGAGGCGAGAGATAGCAACGGCTTGAAACCGGCCAAATCCAGCCAGTGTAAAATCCACAAAATCCAAGAAGTCCACCTTTTGAAATCCAAGCCCCAGGCCAAATCCAGGCACCGGAAAGTCCATGAAATCCATCGCTGCAGGGCCCATCACCCCCGGCAAAGTCATGGGGCATGAGGCCAAACGAAGGTAGGACGTAGATGGCTAGCAACGACAAGCGGATCCAGCCAGAAGCTCCTCTTGAAAAGCCACGATTCTGTAGAGAGCCAATCTGGAGCAGAGACAGCGACTCAACCAATGAATGAGGGACCGGATCTGGTAATCGTCGGTCCCGAGTTGGATGATCTGCTGTATTCAACCTCGTAGGTGCGAAATTGTAGGATGGATACAAACCTCCAGCAATCTGAAGAGCGGCAGCCTTCATGAGAACCGGAGTCAGCATCTTTGACGAGCTGCGGCCCTTAGCCAAGGCACACTTTGCCACATTGGAGTCCAGCAATATGTTTAGGCGTCTGTCAGACCGGGAAATGACAGCGTCCTTTAGCAATGACACCACGGCACCGACCTCAAGGACATTGATGTGGCCCCCCTTCTTCCAATGCCAGCTCCTCTCAACTGTCCATGATGCTGCCAAAAGAAGGTCATTGGCAACAATGCTTTCCAAACCGTCACCGACCTCAGGGCAATCTTCTGGGAGCTTGGAAAGGGCCGCATGAAAGGCACCGGCAAAATGCCTTGCAACACCAGGCTCATAGATGGCGGACTTCTTTGTATACTGTCCCTCGATCTTGACATGGGAATGGTCCCGGGAGCAGTGAACTGTGAGAGCCGCTGCATCCAAATGAGCCAGCAGCAAACGGAACTCCTTCTGATGAATAGAACCAAAAGCACAGGATGCAACGACGGCTTCCTCAAGGCCTCGGCGGAGTAGGGCCCTCCACTCATCTAGCCATGCCATCTTTGACCGTCGCGGCTGCTCAAGCGCTGAGGGCCTTCCCCAATTATAGGCATGGCCCATGATGACAAGAGACCTGAAAGCAAGGATGTTCCCGATGAGGACCTTTGGATGCCTTCTCCTCCACCCCTTGGGGACCTTGTAAGATCTAACTGCTGGATAGGCTGCAGGCGAAAAAGTAGTGCAAGGGGGCGAGACCATCAAGGACCTAAATAGGTTCTGCTCAATCATGTGTAGAATCCACTCCAGCAAACGAAGGTCCTTTAAGTCATAGGCCTCGCTCTCAGACAAGTCTAGC